TGTGCCAAAGAGTTTAGGTGCTTCCTTGAGATCCACACTAGGTTACCACTCACTTCCCAGTAGATTGCAACCATTGTTGAGGATGATTTATGTAAGCTAGGATTCCCAGCTTTAGTCACTACACTAGGTAAGGCAAATGGAATTCCTGGGGTACCAGCCATCACACTACAATCCCAACCAACATTAACTAAGAAGTTCTTTGATAGGAACTGCATAAATAGGGTTGAGCTGTCAGCAATGCATGCACCCCCACCACGCAGAGGAACCTAAGCCCCTCCATCAGACATGCTTACTGATTTCATGCGCCAGGTTTCACTGTAGGAGAGCATGCATTATCGAGCAGTCATTATCTATCCCTGGGCCTACTAGATTTTTTGATGATGGATTGATGACTGGGACTTTTTTTGCATCCCATATCCCTTGGCCTGAGTCCAGATGAGGGAGTGCATTTGCAAAGAATATTGATCTTATGGCCGAAGATGGTGACGATGAGGAGGAAGAACTTGATCCATGTTGGACACATCCACCATAGTGGCATGAGAGTCAGTGGAGGTCCAGACAAGACGATTCTTGGTGACACAACAACAACAGATGGAGAAATAGTTTTGTTATGTGTTTTCTTATTTTAGTTATAATTGGTTATGATGTTTGGAACTATGTTTATTTTGATTATGTAATTTGGTGTTAAGACATTTGATATTTTGATTTAATGGATTATGTGATTTCTGAATTAAGTTGATATGATTTTGCAAGATGAGAACATGTATGATTGTGGTTGCAATGTGCTTTATATGTGATCTTGTGCATGAGTTGAACTATGACCAAATGTTGTGGAGAGTTTGAGAGCATGAGTGAGATTGAGAGAGAGGAGATGATAAATCTGTTTTAGATATGAAATTGATTTTTGCATATGATTGTGCTTCTTCATACACACTTTTGGTTAAGGATGAGTGTTCTTATTGACAGCTACTTGGCCAAATAGCTAACCTTGATAATATTTCTTCCACTTTGAGCCTTTTAGATACTATCTTACCTTACACCTTAGAAGACAACATGTATTATGTTTTGATTGAGGGTATGGTTGAGTTAAAGGTTAGGGAAAGAAAATGTGTTCATTAAAATGTCAAATGTTTGCACATTGAGTTCATAAAAATGTTAAATGTCTATTTTGTTTTTGGTTTTGTTATTTGACGAGGACATGAAATAGTTTTGATAGGTGTGAAAAATACTTGTTTTCATACTTATAAATAGCTTAATGTTGTATTTTTTCATGTGTTTCTTCATTGAAAAGTTGTAATAGGAAGTAGAAAGTGTGTAAACAATTGTACAGGAAATTCTACATTGTTGGGAGTGTTGACATCCCTGTTTCACTAAGCGCATTCCATTAGTCGCTCAATCGTACAACGCACCAGAACTATGTCCTGAGCGAATTGAGGCAGTTGGAGGTGTGCAGTTGAGATTTTCGCTCAACGCATGCACATTTGTGTGCTGAACGAATTAATTAAATGAAATTGGTTTTTAAAGTCGAGATAGAAAGAAGACATCTTCTAACAGAAAACAACACGAAAAATATTGGAAAAACATTAGAAGACGATTCCAATGCTTTCAGACATCATTTTCTGCAAGGGATTGCTTAAAAGATTATGTTCTAGATGATTAGGCGTGACTGATTTTACTGACTAATGACTCATAATTAATGTAATTTTTCTGTGCAATATATGTTTATGTTCATGTGTTTTTTTTGACTTGCTTATATTATACGGAAGTATGATTTGATTTAAACATTTCTTTCTACTTGGAAGTTTATTTGAACTTGATGTAAGAAAAAGCAACCAAAAGTAACGATGTTAGGAATAGTTTTTGATCTTATGGTCATTCTTAACATTGGATTTTAATGCAAAGTATCTGTTGAATTAATTAAGGAATTAATAATTTAATAGATATCTTTAGAACTTGCTTGAAGGAATTAAATCAAGATACATTGATACAAATGCTTGAATATATATATACTATAAGTGATTATTAGTAAGTCATGAATCCAATCCCAATGAAACTTTCATTTAAATTAACAATCTTAAATTTTACTTTCATTATTTTCATGCAATTTTTGAAATATCAAATCAATTGTTATCATTACTAATTGATCTTGATAAACAAACCCGATTAGATAACGTGACTTAAATTTCTGTAGGAGACAATATTTTTACTTTTTCACTTTATTGCTTGAGACGATTTTGGTACACTTGCCAAAGGGTTATCAAGTTTTTGTGGTTCCATTTTACCCTGATTATTCAAGTGAGCCATGTTTAATTTCTTCATTTTCACTTTAGTAGATTTTTGTTCTTTCAATTTTTCCAAATGTGAAACTTCCTCAACATCAAATTCCTCATCTAAAGTTAATTCCTCACATGCATATACTAATACATGCTTCAAAGGAGATTTCACATACATTTGACTCTTCACTTTTTCCACCACATCATCCAAAGCCTCTAACTTAAAACAATTTCCTCTATCTCTAGGATGTTGCATTGCTTCTACAACATTGAAAGTTATCGTCTCATCATGTAATCTAACCTTGAGATGCCCATCATCCACATCAATAATCACTTTAGCAGTTTTCATGAATGGTTTACAAAGTATAAGGGGGATTTCAGTATCCTCTCCATATCTAGAATAATAAAAACCCACTTTCCCTGATCCTCGTGCTGGTGGCCTGGTGGGTACCACTCGGCTTAGAGTTATACTTCGTTCGCTCTATGTAAGTGGTCTTGTCACCCTCAATAGTGGGGTTTTCCCTGGTGGCCCTTGCAGCATTCTCGGCTCTTAGGTGACCAACTCTCCCTTGTAGCGTTGTTGCATCTCCATAATTTGTTGTTGAAGCGCTATGATAATCTCTATTGGGTCTTTTGAGCTGATGTTTCTCGTGGTCACCATTGGGTCTTCCAGATCAGTCGATTCTCCGGTGGGCGCTAAAATGTTTCGGGTATAGGGTCGAGAATCACTACAAAGTACACCTTCACACTTTACTCCATATTAGCTTAGGTAAACCTGCAGCTTAGGTAAACTACATATCTCAATCCCAAATCCTTCTTTGTTCACATTCCAAACTATCCGGAGGTACCTGTTAAAGGCACTCTGATTCTGAAGTCAGTATTTGGTCTGACTAGGGTCAGAGAAAAATCTTAAATTCACAATAAATGAATCTACTCACCTTCTTTGGCCTCTTTCTATAGGTTTCAAGATGGACCTGACATTAGTGGAACCTTAACCACAGCCCAATCATGGCCTAAAACCTACTAAAAAATGCTTACCCATAATCTTGATTTGACATGGTGTTTAAGGATGGTTGATGCTAAGAGACGTATGTTCGACTTCCTTTCCTTCTCGACCCTTTGGTTGATGAGATGCATAATTTTAACCTGTAGTTGGTGGATTGCTTGACCGGTCAGGTTTCTCTGGTGATCTCATCTGATCGATTATCACTTGATCGTCTGGTCATGTTTTACAATTTTATTAATTTTTTTATCTTCTATAAAATTTAAAAATCACTCTTTTTAAATTTTATAAAATGACCGAAGTTTGATTTTATTCCCATAAAATGATTTTCACCTCTTTTACATTTCTAAGATTCATTTTAAGATAAAATAAGTAGAGTTCTTTTAAGATAACACGCGCTCTCGTCATTATCATTGTAATGTGCACTAGTCGGAAGGATCATTTAACTTTTTCTTTTCAATGCATAAATACTTTATAGTACTGTATAATATTTGTGATCAAAAGTGATAATTTTCAATTTTAGAGAAATATGAAACAAAAAATATTCCTTGGAACTAAAATAAAAACTAACTCATTTTATAAAGACCAAAAATTAGATGTTTCTAAATATATATTAGAATAATCAGTTTATTTGAAAATATAGTGTTATAAAGTGAGACTATCATTTTAAATTGATATAGATCCAAATAACCATAAAAAACATCATAAAAAAAAATTATTGATACTAACCAAGAAACATTGACTGACATTAAATGATAAATAGGATCAACATACACCACTAATAAAAATGTTAACATTAATAATTTGACATAATTATAGTTAATTTTAATCCAAAAAGTATTTGTCAATAATACTAAAAAGAATAATATTAAGTGGACAATACTTTAACCGTGTCTAAGTTGAGATAGAACGAATATTTATCCACTAGAATGAAATCAAGAAAAGAATACCGATAAAAGTATAAATGTGAATTAAAAAATATATATATAATACTTCAAATTTTATATTTGAAGTAAAGTTTAAATAAGAGAATATTTTCAAAGTTTATAAAATTTCTAATTCTTTTAAAATACACGTCTAGATCATATAAATCTAAAAATTATTTCAAATTTTATTTAAAAAATATTTACCCTTTAATATATTTTTAAAAAATAATTGAATTTCTCAATTTAAAATATATTTACTATAAATTTCAAATCAAAATACGGTCGTAATTAAAATATAAAAGTATTAAAATTAGACTTACAAAAGAAAATAACAAAATCTTATATATAAATTATTATTAAAAAATAGTTAAATATGTTTTAATTGTTTAACTTTATTAAAAGTTAAAATTAATTTATTTAAAAAAATTTAATTTTATAATTTTAGAAATACCTAAATTTAAATTTTGTAAATAAAATTTATTGATTTTATTCAACATTAACCCCTGTCGTAATAATATTTGAATTATTTATTTATAATATATTTACTTTTAATATTAATTTTGAAACGAATTTGAAAAGTTAGATAAATTTAATTAAAAAACTTAATCAAGCATTTTTTTTTAAATTCAGAGAGTAAATTGGATAAAAGAAAGACTAATTTTTGACAAAAGCATATTTAATAAAGAGAAAAGGTACAATTATGATTAAGATTAATGGAAGAAGATTTAACTTGCAGAAGGTACATGTGCTGAATGTTGGGAAAGCGAAATCTTGGAAGCTAAAAATGGGACCCACCGAATGTTACAGTTCAGCATTTATCCACTGAAAGAACGCGCGCGCACACATCATTCCCTCCAACTCTCCGTTTCATGGCTCAAACTTAATCATCTTCACGTCTTTCCCTTCTCCTTCTTTTATCATGCACCCTTTTCCGACAACTTTACGCTTCCTACACTAAAATCGGCTGTCAACTATGGCACGCGGGCAGACAATCTCCCACCGCCCTCAACGGTGGCCACCTTCCTCAAAACTCAAACCACCATCGACCGCGTCAAAATCTTCGATGCCAACCCCGACATCCTCCGCGCCTTCGCCGGCACCGGAATCTCCGTAACCGTCACGGTGGCGAACGCCGCCATCCCCTCTCTCTCAACCCTTCCTGCCGCGCAAGCTTGGCTCTCCCAAAACATCTCCCCCTTCCTCCCAGAAACCGCTGTGACGCGTATCTCCGTCGGGAACGAGGTTGTGGAAAGCTCCGATAAAACACTAATCGACAACATTGTTCCAGCTATGAAATCCCTGCACAATGCTCTCTCCCTCGCCAACCACACTACCGTCCAAGTCTCCACTCCTCACTCGCTCGGGATCCTGGCCTCGTCGGAGCCTCCCAGCGCCGCCTCGTTCCTCCGTGGCTACGACAAATCCATCTTTGCGCCGATGCTGGACTTCCTCCGGCGTACCAAGTCCCCCTTCATGGTGAACCCGTATCCGTTCTTCGGCATCGCCCCAACCCAACCCGAAACCGTGAACTACGCGCTCTTTAAACCAAACAGCGGCGTTTGGGACGCGGGCACGTCGGTGAACTATACGAACATGTTCGACGCGCAAATGGACGCGGTTTTCTCGGCGATGAAGAAACTGGGGTATGATGACGTGGAACTGGCGGTGGCCTAAACGGGTTGGCCCTCTGTTGGTGACCCGAAGGAAGGGGGTGTGAGTTCTGAGAATGCGGCGTCGTATAATGGGAATCTCATCAAGCACGTCAGCTCTGGGAAAGGGACCCCTCTTATGCCTGATCGGACTTTCGAGACTTTCATCTTCTCTCTGTTCAACGAGAATCTCAAGCCCACAGTTTCTGAGCGTAATTATGGCTTGTTTAATCCTGATCTCATCCCCGTTTACGACGTCGGCTTTTTCATTGACAAAGAGGTACATTTTTTTCACTTTTACAATATTCCCAACTTTTCATTCAATGCATTTTTAACATGTTAGTGGAAAACTAAACATTTCTTAGTTATTTTTTCTTGTTAATGATGGAAATAATGAATTGATGGAAGAGACATTTCTAATTAGGGAAAATGCATATTGAAGAAGGTTGCCATGGTCTAATGCAGGCATCTGTTCCCACGTCCGGACCCGGACCCACATCTGGACCCACAACTGGACGTAAATCTGGACCCAGTCCCACGTATGCACCCGCATCTGGACCCAGTCCCACATCTGGACCCGCATCTGGTCCCACGGCATTAATAACACCATCAGAGGCACCTTCTTCTTCATCATCATCATCGTCTTCGAAGAAGAAATGGTGCGTGCCAAAAGGGGATGCGAGTGAAGCAGCTTTGCAGGCTAACATTGACTTTGTTTGTAAAAGCAGTGGAATAGAGTGTGGGGCCATTAACGACGGTGGGCAATGCTTCAAGCCCAACACAGTTAGGTCCCACGCGGCGTACGCCATGAACGCATATTACCAAGCATCTGGTGGTAACGATTTGGAATGTGATTTCGGCAACACCGGACTCATCACTCACACCGACCATAGTAAGTTTTGTTATTCAACATTGGACATGCATGGTGCTGTGTTGTGTGGCGTCGTGTGTTTTACTACAATCATTTTTTTTGTTTTGTTGGAATGACAAAAAGTGTTGTGTCTGTGGGTGGCAGGTTCCCAGGAATGTATGTCTCCAGATGCCGCTACTGGGCTGAAGGCCAGAAAACCCGACGGAGCTGGCTCAGTAACACGGACCTTCCACAACAATCTCTTCTTTATTTGTATTTCAATTCTAATTTCTTTCACTTTTTTCTAATGTTATTGTCTATGTCCCTATTATTAATTATATGAATGCATTCATATATATATATATATATATATATATATATATATATATATATATGTTTCGGTGGATACTTTTGGGGACCGAGAGACTAACCTGCTGACGCGTCTGGGCCGCTCGCTCGTTTCCAAACTCCTCCTGTTGGCCGATCGGTGTTGGCGCAAACCGATCGGTCTCCTTCTTGACGAGGGGGATGTACCTGCAAAAGGTACTCCGACGCCCAAGTTAGGCGTGTGATTTGAAGAGCCTCGGCTCTTGGTTGAATATTTAGTGAATGGTTATCACTATTGAGTATTTGAGAGTCATGTAGAGTAAGTTATGCGTAAGTGGAACGTACCTGGCTCTTGGCCCTAGCTTTGTATTTATTATTTTCCTCATGGATCTTGAGCTAATATAAGACCAATAAAATATAAACAGAATAAGATATAAACAGATTACCTAAATATCCGGTTGGTTGTTTGTAACC